ATCATGTTGCTGCTGATCTGTTTCATGTTGCTGCTGATCTGTTTCAATGTTGATGTGTTCATGCGTGCACATCTGCTCACAGACTCATGTTCATGTTTGTGGTGATGTTCAATGTTTTATGTTAAGAGTGCTTAGTGTATATTTAGTTGATGCATTTCTTAGTTCATATCTTAGATGTTATTACTGTTTTCTTATACATTTTATTGTTGGATGTAACTGGGACCCTGTGTACATAATTTCGCTCCACCACATGTACTACATGAGGTGCGAATGACAATAAAGAAACTCTGACTCTGACTCTCTAACTCTTCTTCAGGATGGATGACCTGCAAATGTTGCTGAGTAAAAGATTCACATTTTGTCCACTAGAGGTCATTGTCTACTCAGTTTAACATTTCAGCTTAAATCCGTGCATGTTTTGATGGGCTCATGTTTGCAAGAGATCAGAAACAGTCTAGAAACATAAAACTTTGGATCTTTATAAAAATTATAATACAGCAGCAAACAAAAGAAGACATCACTTTGTAAGTAGGTTTCATGTTGATTTTTTTTAATTCTTTTTTTTTTTTTATTATTCTTTTAGAATTGCTTGTCATTTCTAAATTAGAAGTTTTAAGATGATTACTTTTGGAAATGAACCTAGCATCCCTTAAATTAATACACATCTGCTAACTTTCAGGCCAGACTCTTACAATAAAACCATCTTTTTATGAGAAATGACAGAATTAGAAGTGTTGTGGTTTAAAGCAAGATTAACACAGGGTTAAGAGTACAATAAAATGCTTAGGATGAGAAGAACCGATTTGACTCGCTAAAAAATCAAAGAACAATCCAACAAGAAATACTAAAAGCATGCAATAATGGTACACAAAAAGTACCATAAAGTGGAAAAGTAATTATAATATTTACAATGTCCTAAAGGGAGATAGTAAACAACAACATGGTAGAATATAATGGTGCAGCAGGATGAATTTGAATGAATAAGTATTTCAGGGTAGTAATATAAGCTAAAATGCATAGGATATGGGTACACACACATGTATGTATTCAAACAATCTGTAGGTGCTCAAAGTATATGTTTTGGATAACAAGCTACTACCGTACTGAATTGTATGTAGCTCAGTATCTTTGAAATGGCCTAATTTAGCGTTAATTTTGTGTCTGCTAATGTGTATTAGCTGTGGAACCCGTCTTGATTTAGGTTTTAAAAAGATGGCGAGTTGTAGATTCATCCAAAAATAATTTTCCGAGAGTTTTACTAAAATCTTTCCAGTGGTTGATGAGACATTTTGACAGACTACGAACACACACTGTCAAATAAAACTGCTTTCCTGTTGGCAGCAGCACTAGTAAAGGGAGTCAGTAAATTGTAAATGCTCTAACAAAAACAAGCAAAATCTCAGTGCTCACAGTACGTTAGAGAAATATTCTCCTCTCAACTCTGGATCTCTTTAATAAACAATCACATATTGGCAAACTCACATATTCAACGTGCTGCTAAAACATCCTGCTTGACTCATTCTCCTCTGATGAACAAGTCATGCTCCACAGTGTGTGGCCATGATGATAGAGATGGATAATCCATTAGAATAGGAGGTCCCTGCTCTCCTTATCTCATCATCCATGTTTGTCACAGGTCTGCCACCAAGAGCATTGCAGGACTACTATATATTAAATATATATATATATATATATATATATATATATATATATATATATATAATAAGCTTTTTTCTGCTGTGGTTGACACACTGTTTAACCCCCTGTGGAGCTGTTCTCCTTCTGCCTCCACAGGAGCAAGCTGCATGCATGTGCAACACGGAGCGTGTGTGTGGTAGAATGCAATACAGACAGGCAAGGTCACATGACGTCCCTGTCTTTAAACGAGGATAGGGTTTAGGGCTTAACTGTGCACTTCAGGGGTGCAGGAAGGAGCAGGAAGAAGGAGGGAGGAGGTAATGCCAGCCAACACCACGCCTGACGGGGATGCTGATCTCCTGCCCTCGTGTTTACGTCTGCCTGATTACTTTGGTTTTGGTGACACCCCAGACATAATCACCAAAAGCCAAACACAGACACACACACACACAAACTCTGACCAACTTCATGAGTAGAGGATAAAGGAGAAAACACACGTGAGCAGGATTTTCCACAGCTACTACCTTGGTCATTTAATTCTATTGAAGCTCAGACTTCTTGCACCTAAATGAACATTTATGACAGATCATATCAGAGAAGGGGATTATTTTTAAATATGCCTCACTTGACAAATACAGAGCTGGTATTAGAATGTTTTAACAATGCACAAGTGCACAAAG